TCTTTCCATTTAAAATTAGAGGCAACCACTGCATTTTAATCACGAGCCTCGTTTCATTTTTAAGAAATTCAAATAAATAGCGTTCCGTCACTCTTTAATGTGTTGTGACTGATCACTGCAAGGCCTCAGTTCAAGCGGCATTAAAAGAAAATACAATCTAAAATCCTGAAGACAGTCAGTTCCCCTCAGAGATACACTCATAAATCCCCACCCCATAATGCATCGCGATTCGTTTAACATCTCAACCGACTTGAATCATCGCATATTTCTATAGATTTTCACCTGGCTCTGCATGCATCGTTACATCCCTAAGTGATCGTTCACCCAAAAATTATTTGATGTATGTACAGTATGTGTTGATCAATGTTTATACGTGAATAGCCTAAATTAAACTTGTATTACATGTAAATTAATTGTCTCTTCAGAAGCCTTCGATTAAACTGCTTGATTCACAGATTAATTTAATGACCTTTTGAAGAATCAAGGTGTTGGTGGAATGGACTTTCAATGGAGACAAATCTCTCTAATACATTTGTGTTTCAAAGTCAAATAAAAGTCTTACGAGTTTGGAACAACATGAGCGTGAGTAAATATCAATTTTCATTTTTGGGTGCACTATCCCTTTCATCACACTTGAAGCACTGACATGTTTAAGCAAGAGAGGGTCTCCCACGTGTGTACCTGCTGGCCCGGGCATACAGCTGTAAGAATACCCCCAGACAGTGGCGCAGTCTTTGGTCATCCTCTGTTACAGGATTGTACCACAGCAGCACCAGACGGGACAACAGCTTTGGACTCAGGATTCTCCCACAGTACATCAACTTGGCCAGACCCTCTGCTGTCTCTGTGCGGAGCTCACAGATCTGAAAAATGGAAATCAAGCACCATTTAGGCACACTGTCGAAATGCCTACCAATCAGCTTCAGCAAGCTGCCAGCGTAATGAGTTGGCAGAAAACCTATGCATTGATGTGAATGAAGCTGCAGCATTAACAGTTGTCTCACATGAGGCTTTTTTTTCTTTTTACAGCAAAATCAA